CAAATCTTTTGAACTCAGCAGTTCTGCAGTCTTCCTTCTGCAGCCCAGAAAGTGAGACTTGAGCTGCAGCAGCATCCTGCGCCTTTGCATCGTGACAATGTTGTGGTTTTTATGTACTTATAATCAGTAAATTCAATCTGTTCCAAAACGTCTCGATCTTGATGTGTTTTCTCTACTTGATAAACACTTCTGTTAAAAGGAGTACAGTTAATTGACTCATCTACCAGATTTGTTGCTAATATTCTCATATAATGCAACAGCGTCTGTATCAGGCTCATGTGAGAGTTACGTGCCACAGGTAACACCACTGTACAGACTTGAGTGGGTTATAGGGAGAGACTTGGTTTTAAACATGTCTCACATGTGTTCATTGAATATCTACTAGGAATTTCCATTATTTTGGTTATTGGTCATAGTTACAAAAACATGTATGAAGTATTTACAAAATAACGGCAGAAATATACTTTAGGTAAAGCCCACCCTGCTTAAGCAGATACAGCAATCAATGGTCTTATAGCTTTGCTGCTGCCACTTGTCACGCGTGCTAAGTCGCTTCAGTCATATTGGACTGGACTGTAGCCCACTAAGCTCCTCTGTCCATGGGATTCTCCAGGCCAGAATACCAAAGTGACTTGCCATTTCCTTCTCCAGGGGATCTTCTCAACCCAGGGATCAAACCCACATTTCTTATGTCTCCTGCAGAGGCAGGAGGGTTCTTTACCACTAGTGCCACCTCGGAAGCCCAAGGGTCTTTAAAAAGACTACAAACTTTGAGCCTCTCCCAAAACTGCTAAAACATTACTGTCTTAGGATAAAAAACATTACTGTCTTAGGAATTCCCTGGCGGTTTGGTGGTTAGGACTCTGCGTTTTCACTGGCAGGGGCTCTGGTTCAACCCCCGGTCAAGGAACTAAGATCCCACAAGCTGTGAGCTACTGGCAAAAAAACACCCAAAAAACAACTCACTACTGTCTTCACGGCTGTGTGACCTCAGCAAGTTGTTCCAGCTCTCTGAACCTCAGCTTGCCATCAGTCAAGATGGAGAGAAAGAGGAGCATTTAGCGTTACTGCGAGAGTGAAGTGAGGTAATGGGACCAGTGCTCACCATGGAGCTTGGCACCAATATTCATCTTCTGTTTGTCTTCTGTTTGTGCAAAACTCAAATAAGTGTGAGCAAAGAGGGGGTGAATTTTAGTTGACAAGAAACACAGTGTTACCTGTTTGCTCCTAAATCATGTAGACAAAGAATTCCTGCCAGAACCTTAAGTGTTCATTAGAAATGTTAATTATGAGTTGAGCATTTGGACTGTTGTTTGTAATAAATACTCTTACACTTTGAGAACCAATCCTTAGGGATGCAAGGAAACTTAACATTGTGCCATAGAACTTACAGTTAATCACCTGAGGTAGACAGAAGTAAGAGACAGCAGAGGGCTTAGGTCTTTTGATTCTGAAAGTATTGCTCTTTCCAACAAGGGCAGCTGTGGTTGTGGAAAGACTGTTACTGAACTTTTGAGTCAGAAAACCAAGGAAAATACCTACAAGAAATAAACCCAAAACAATCGAGAAAATGGTAATAGGATCATACATATCAGTAATTACCTTAAATGTAAATGGATTAAATGCACCAACCAAAAGACAGACTGGTTGTGTGGATGAAAACATGTGCATGTGTGCACTTCCACTTACCACATCTTTCTACTTCACCCCCCAAATTGTATGTAATTTTGTGTGTAATTGTGTTGTATATTGTTAGGTTAACCATGTTTCCCTTATGGCTCCCAATTGTAATTATCTTTTATTTTTTGTCTGACTGTTGGTTGTGAAAACTGCTGCTGCTGCTGCTGCTAAGTCGCATCAGTCGTGTCCGACTCTGTGCGACCCCATAGACGGCAGCCCACTAGGCTCCGCCATCCCTAGGATTCTCCAGGCAAGAACACTGGAGTGGATTGCTATTTCCTTCTCCAATGCATGAAAGTGAAAAGTGAAAGTGCAGTCGCTCAGTCATGTCCAACTCTTCGTGACCCCATGGACTACAGCCCACCAGGCTCCTCCGTCCATAGCATTTTCCAGGCAAGAGTACTGGAGTGGGTTGCCATTGCCTTCTCTGTGTGAAAACTGATAAACACCTAAACATCTTTTACTGTTGTGATTATGTAACTATTCATATGTAACCATCATACCATGATTGGTCAACAGAAAATAATAGAATTCTATAGCACTGAACACTACCACTTAATAGAAAAAAGAAAAAGAAAACCCAGCTTAAGACTAACCAAGTTCAGGCACTTTCTGTAGCTGTGACTTTGCAGAAGTAACAACCAATATGTACCATGGTTTGCTCATCTGTAAACGAAATAATGATCTTTTCTTAGGGGGTTTTTAAGGTTAAATGAGTTAAGGTATGTTATAAATTTTGTAAATAAAAAACAGTGTATCAAATTTGAAATTATGGGGACTTCCCTGGTGGTCCAGTGGTTAATACTCCACGCTCCCAATACAGGGGTCACTGGTTCAATCCCTGGTTGGGGAACTAACATCTTGCATGCCTCACGGCACTGCATTAAAAAAAGTTTTGCTTGAAATTATATCAAAACATAAAGCTTCCAAACAACATTAGTAACAAAAAGCACCCAAGAAGAAAAGGGTAGGAACCCAGGCAGATCCAGGATTGTATATAAAGAGCAGGGCAGTCCCATCAAGTTATTGCTAAATCAGTTGTATGTCACTGTGGAGCATTCATCTCCCAGGGAGAGGGTTTACTTACTTAGTCTGGTCGACATCAGGTGCTTTGCCTTCAGCAAGGGACTGTGGGCACCTGGATTGAGGTCCCATCAGTTTGTATCTCATATAAGAGGGGTGGGTCCTGCAGAGCAAAATCAGGATGCTGTGACAAGAGTAAGGGGAAATGGGTGCTGGGCAGGCATAAGCATCAAGCAAATGCCTCAGGAACAGTGCAGACATAAGCATCCTCTGTGTGTATGTAAGGGTTTTATCACAGAGGGGGAAGAGAATACCTTTAAGAATCAGCAATGGCCAATCACAATGACTAATATGGGACTTCCCGGGTGGCACAGAATCCACCTGCCAGTACAGGAGACATGGGTTCGCTCCCTGGATCAGGAAGATCTCCTGGAGAAGGAAATGGCAGCCAACTCCAGCATCCTTGCCTGGGAAATCCCATGGACAGAAGAACTTTGTGGGCTACAGTCCATGGGGTCGCAGAGTCGGACACGACTAAGCACACACACACAATGGCTCATATATTTGCAAATTTTGTTTGTGAAATTTCCTTGAATTTTGTACCTATGATAGATGAACTTTTTAGTATGTATAGTTTACTTAAACCTTGAAGAGCTTAACTTCTGCCATATATTAATATTCCCAAATAGATATTACATGCTGAGTTAAGAGCTAGCAAATCATGCTAATGTGTATAACCTATTGAAATGCTCACTTTTACTCGTGTGCACTTAATCTTCAACAGTTCCCGTAAATAGGTCAAGATTTTGTGTGAATTCTGTTGATTATGTTAATATTTTGTCAAGATGATCTTTGAGAAAACCAGAGAATGTATTTCTTAACATGGAGGACATTCCTAATAGTGGTCATTTTGATCAGGTAATTTTTTATATCTGAGGATGAGTTTAAAATTATGAATACTTATGATGTGTCTGGTATTTTTACCTCCTCAACTTGTTATTTTCTTATCTAACACACAAAAACCCACAGAACAAAGACCTATCACCCTCCTCCCTGGACACACAAATTTTAAGGTAAAATAAGATTAAAGAAAAGAAAGAGTATGTTAAATATCCTTTGAGTTATAGGGTTGGTTTTTTTTTTTTTTTAAGTGTAGTTGATTTATAATGTGTTAGTTTCAGGGGCCTTCCCTTGTGGCTCCGCTGGTAAAAAAAATCCGCCTGCAATGCAGGAGACCTGGGTTCGATCCCTGAGTTGGGAAGATCCCCTAGAGAAGGGGAAGGCTACCCACTCCAGTATTCTGGCCTGGAGAATTCCATGGACTGTATATGTAGTCCATGGGGTCGCAAAGAGTTGGACATGACTGAGCGACTTTCACTTTTGAAGAAGGAAATGGCAGGTGCAAGCAAAGTGATCCCTTTGTACATAGATACATACAGATATATAGATTCTTTTTCAGATTCTTTTCTATTATATCAATAGGTTATTATAAGATATTGAATATAATTCCCTGTGCTATACAATAGACCCTTGTTACTTATCTATTTTGTGTGTAGTAGTTTTTATCTCCTAATTTGTCCCTCCCTCTCCATTTCTGCTTTGGTAACCATAAATTTGTTTTCTATGTCTGTGAGTCTGCTTTGTAAATAAGTTATCTGTATCATTGTTTTAGATTCCATATATAAATGGTATCATATGATATTTGTCTTGCTCTGTCTGACTTAGTACGATCAGCTCTAGATCCATTCATGTTGCTGCAAATGGCATTATTTCATTCTTTTTTTGTGGCTGAGCGATATTTGAGTTATAGTTTGAATTCTGTTTATAGGAAGGCTGTTTCACCACCTTGCCTGTCACCTTTTATGTGTCTAGCGCATGTGGTGAGAACCTGTGACCCACAGGGAAGATAAAGAGACTCTCCAGCAAGTGTAGGATGCAAATGGAGCTCTCTTTTTTTTTCTAATAACTAATTTTTATTAGAGTATAGTTGATTGACAACGTTATGTTAGTTTCTGCTATGCAGCAAAGTGAATCAGCTATCTATATGTATGCATCCCCTCTTTTGGATTTCCTTCCCTTTCATGTCACCACAGAGCGCTGAGTAGAGTTCCCAGTGCTGTTCAATAGGTTCTCATCCGTTGTCCATTTTATAATAATGTAGATGGAGCTTTCACTCGGCAGAACTGCTCTTAGTATCCAAGGTGTCATTAAAATACAGTTTCCACCCATGAACCCCCAGTGGTGGATCCTTAATTCCTGTCAAGGAGAGTGACGTGTTCTTGGTTTGTGTCCTGTAGATTCTGCCGTTCTTGCATCGCTACCAGTCTAAAGAACAATAAATGGACCTGTCCTTACTGCCGGGCTTATCTTCCTTCCGAAGGAGTTCCTGCAGCTGATGTCGCCAAGAGAATGAAATCCGAGTTCCGCAATTGCACCGAATGTGACACTCTGGTAGGTCACCCTGCCTTTGCTCAGCTTAGACTGCCGAGAAAATTGTTAGACAGCCAGTCATTTCACCTCTGCCTTTGACCTCATCCTACTCGAATTTCAAAGTTTATTGTCTCAGTCTCTCCTCTTCCTTTCTTCCAGTTTCATAAGTATGGACTTCAGGAGAGCCGTCACCTGATGCCCACCATCACCTAATTTCTCAAACAAATGCTTTCATCGACCACCTCCATTTCCTCCCTTCCCATTGCTCCCCTCACCCCTTATTATGTGGCCTCTATTATGTTATTGTAGCCCACCCAGTGAATAGCTTTATTTTCAAGCCCAGTGGCGTACTTCCATCTCTACTGTTCTGGGCTTTGCTGTATTTATCTCTGTTGACCACTGCCTTCTGTTACTGTTTTCCTCCGTTGATACTATACTAGTCTGGTTAGATCATGTGAGGTCTTAGAAGCTGTGTCAAAGATTCTAGATTTTATCTTAAATGCCATAGGGAGTCATAGAAAAAGTGTAAGCTTTTGATCAGGTTTATATTTTTAAGCTCTCACTCAGGCATGTGCATGGAGAATGGTTTGGAGGGAGCAAAAGCAGAATTGGTGGAGACAATTTAGTGGCCTTTAGGACAGGTGGTTAGGAAGCTGGGTTAGGGTAAGAGCATTAAGTATGGAATAAGAGGTTGTTTCAGGGTGTATTTAAGAGAGGGATTGAAGAAAATTGGTAAGTAACTGGATGTGGGGGTGCATAAGAGTGAGGTGTCAAAGATGACTCCCATGTTTCTGAGATGAGTAGGTGAAAATGCTAATATGGGGAGCAAATTTGGAGAAGAATCTACAGAGTTAAGTTTTAAGTTTTACATACATCACGTTTGAACTGCTAAGGGGAATATATCTAGATATTACCAGTCTAGAAATCAAAAGGGATATCGTGTACTGAAGATCTCAATTTCTTAGAGAACCTTTCTTGATTGTTCATCTAAATTATAATCTCTTAAACCCTTTCTCTTAGCACTCTGTGCTTTCTCTTTATAGCACTTATAACCATTTATAATTATGCTTTTGTGACTTTTTTAAGTTTAATGTCCATTATCCATTATCCCCACCAGATTATGTGAGGGTAAGGATTGTGTCTGTTTTATTGGGTTGTGTATCAAGAACCTTGAATAGTGGCTGGAACATAGTAAATGCTCAAATGCATTTTTAAAATATTTATATAAGACCTAAATCTGTTTTTGACTACAGAATCTATGCATGGTCTTTGGAGTCAGACATCTTAGGGTTGAGCACTGATTCTCTCACTTACTGTTTGTGATTTGGGGCAAATTATTAATCTGAGTTTTTGTTTGAGTCTTTGTAAATTGAGGGAAAAGATAATGTTCGTGTCACAGGGTGGTTGTAAAGATTAAAGACAAACCACAAGTGGCTTTTAGCACTGTATGCTCAGTCGTATTGGACTCTTGCAACCCCATCGACGGTAGCCCACCAGGCTCCTCTGTCCATGGGATTTTACAGGCAAGAATAGTGGAGTGGGGTGCCATTCCCTTCTCCAGGGAATCTTCCTGACCCAGGGATTGAATTGCATCTCTTTCATCTCCTGTATTGGCCGGCATATTCTTTACCACTAGCGTCACTGGTTGGGATTCATTTTAGTACTGTGGAAATGAAGGCTCAAATCAATAGCTCAAAATCAATAGCTTTTCACATTCTTAGTAATCATTATTGCTAATTTTTATTTTGATAGTTTGCCATCGTTTAAAATTCAACATGCAAAAAATCAAACTCAGCATATTATTCTGTTATCCAGTTCTTTATCCCCCCTTGGTACCTGTCAGAAACAAGAGCATTCTCTCTCTTATCCTGGGTCAGAATCTGCTTCCTTTTTTCCACTCCCTATTTCTGATTATTCACAAGTATTTTTATCTATCCTTTGGGAGATTTCTTTGTATCCGTCTCTTCTTGCTGGAATGTTAGGCATTCTCAACTCTGCTTCCTGTGAGTCCTGGCCAGATCTCCATACCATGAGTATTGTTGTCCGCAATATTGAACCGTTTCCTATCTGCTTGTCTTCACATCTTTTGTTCATTTGTTTTTCCTCAATTAGATTATAAGCAGCTTTAGTGCAAGCCCAGTGGCTTATACTCCTGCTGCCACGGACAACTACTCTCAGTTTTGTGTCTGGGGTAGACACCCTGTGAATTTATCAATTCACTTGTCAGGATACAATCCCCAGATTGCTACATTTATATGAGGAATGTTGATCAAGGACTATAAAGAGGGAAGAGGAAAGAGACTTTTAACAAAAGTCACAGGGAGAGGAGAAAGCAACTGATGTGCAAAGTTGGATGTTAAATGTTGTAAAGCAGTCTATTTTAAGACAGCTGCCTAGATCATTCCTAGCTTTTACATCTTTTTAGATGGATAAAGCAAGGATTTGTTGCTAACGTTTCCATTTGCTTTTATTTTTGTCTTTTGTGAGCAGTTATGTCTGCTTCCTTGAGATGGTAGATTTCATGTTTGAGGTTGAACTTCCGTAGCTTGGGCAAAATGAAGCATGGTGCGTCGGCCACCTTACCACAACTCTAACAAAGCTTCCTTTAGCCCAAGATCTTATCAGAGTTTCTAATGACACATTTAGTAGAATATGTACTATGCAGCAACAGATCCCTCATGGTTAGGATCTCTGAATGTATATCTGGAAGGACAAGGGCTCTTTATTCTGCCTTCATAAAAATGGACTGCAAGAGTTGTCCTTTATATTTGCTGTTAATGGGGCCATTAAGTATACTGTGTATTGTGAATTCATGTAATGCTACTGGATGTATTATAAAGCCATGGTATTTATATCTTTCCCTGAAGCACAGGATTTCTTTTTACTTACTCCGGACATCTCTAAAATCCATCTATTTATTCTATTTATCTCTCTCTGTTTTTCTTTCTCTCTCTTTTAACTTTTTTCCCCCCTTTCCTTCCTTTTGCTCTTTTTCCTCTCCTCTTTTTCTTTCTTCCTTCTTTCCATCACTAATTTAGGCAATAGTATCCAAAAAAAGTAAATTTGACTTAATATACATCTTTTCACTTTGAGGAACATATGCTTTCTAAAAGAACCAAATTCAAGAACTCAGCTTCTGGATCTTCTAACGATAAAGAAATTTTAAATTAGTGTTATTCTTGATAATGCCTTAAATTGATTGAACTATTACCTTGACTGCTTCCTTTTAATCTACTGACCCCACATTATGACCTTATTTGAAATAAAGAAAGCAGTGAAGTTGGGTCACAAAAGACTTCATTGACTGAAGTGAGCCTCTTTTCAACAGTGAGCTTATTTTGATCTGCTTTCATATAGGTTTGCCTCAGTGAAATGAGGGCACACATAAGAACATGCCAGAAGTACATAGATAAATATGGACCACTGCAAGAACTTGGAGAGACAACAACAAGGTTTGTTCCAACTAATAAAAATAAATGGAAAAAAAAAAATTGGGACCAACAACAAGGTTTGTTTCTATACACTTTGGTTTAATGCTAAATTTGACATGCTTATAAAGAATTTAATGGGCTGGAAAGCTTAATATTTTTATTATGAAAATATGTATATGGTTGTTTTGGCTCCTAATCATAATACCTCTTGTTAGTAATCATTTGTTTTCAATGATTAATAGCAGTAATTACAAAAGAATTTTGCTCTCTCTGCTTTAAAAACTTTGGGGAGAACCAGCTGGACACTGGAGAGATTGGGGAAGCTTCCTCAGACAAGTTTATATGGAGGAAGATCCAGAAATAGAAAGCAGAACTGTTCAGTTTCTGCTAGGCTCTGTGTTGTGACTAACAGTCCTGAAGTAAATGATGGTTATGAGATTATTGTCGTTAGTTTTCCATCACCACTACCCAGTGTCCCAGCTCGTTCCCTCTCATTTTCCTGCTTCCTCTTTAGAAGGGACAAAGTGACATCTCAGTATATATTCTAACATAAAAGAACACGCGTGGGGCAGGCATTCTGAATCCTACAACCTGTTTGCTGGGTAATCTTATATGGGGCTGGAGGAAGGATGGAGACGGTTAGTAGGTGTAATGGAGGATATTGATCATTAACTATTTTTTCTTAAAAAAAAAAGAAGGAAACAAATCTAGGTCATTAAAACTCCAGGAGATAGTAGAGGATGGGGGAGCCTGGAGTGCTGTAGTTCAGAGGGTCCCAAAGAGCTGGACACAACTTAGCAACTGAATGACAACTATTCTGAATGGCAGAGGAATTACAAAGTTTGGCATTTGCTTCTGCGGAAGAAATAGAGAAATGCTTTGTGTACTCCTGAATGGAGATAATGGCTTTGAAACCATTGAGTCTTCCTTTGAATTCAGCTATCCAGTAGAGGTATTCAGTATAATTTCTTTTCCTCTCCTGAAGATATTATGCTTATTTTAAGAAATTATATGTATAGCACAGGACAAAATACTTAATATTTTATAATAATCTATCAAAGAAAAGAATCTGAAAAAGAATGTATATACATGTATATATAACTGAATTACTGTGCTATTTGCCTGAAACTAACACAGCAGTGTAAATAAACTCTACTTCAATAAAAAAAAAATTTTTTTTTAAGATAAAAAAAGGGAATGCCCTAGCACTCCAGTGGTTAGGACTCTACACTTTCACTGTCAAGGGCCCAGGTTTGATCCCTGGCTGGGGAGCTAAAATCCTATAAGCTGAGCAATGCAGCCACAAAAATATTAAAAAAAGAAATACTATTCAAATATAGCTTAAATTTCCTAATCCAGAAGTCTACATGTTTTTCTAGAGGTTACTTTGCAAATGTACCTTTTATTATAGGACTAGATTTATTCCATACTGCTATAAATTGTGAGTATTTTAGCTCTAAGAAGAGTATGGATTCTGTTAGACTGGCCCCAGGGACCAGTAGGAAGGAACGCTAACAAATGAGTTGAACAAGCATGTGGTTTGATCGGAAAGTTGATATGAAAATTTTAAAGTATATGAATACTAATTTATCCTGCTAGTTAGAATTAAATAAAAAAGAATTAAAATAACCAAAATGAGAAGGGTTGTTGATTAATCAGTCTTACAAGATAAATATTTGCATTTAACATAGAAATCTTTGCTTTATAAAACTTACAACATAATTCAAATTTTTTAAGTTCTTTTGCAAGGAAACTATCCAAAATACGTGTCTTGGGGAACAGGAAGTTATATCTATGATGGAAAATGAGAGAAAAATTCCAAGCCTCCATATTGCCCCTAAGAATTTAAGGCAGCACTATGCAATGGAAATATAATGCAGAACACATGTAATTTTAAATTCTCTAGTAGCAATATTCAAAAAGTAAAAACAAGTGAAATTAATTTTTCATGTATTTTATTCAACTGGTTATAGCCAAAATATTCTCCTTGGAACATGTAATCAATATATAAATTATTGAGATGTTTTATTTTTTATGTATATATAAAGCCTGCAAACTTCAGAGAGTATTTTAAACTTCTAGCACAGCCTCAATTTGGACTGACCATATTTCAAGTGCCTGGTAGACACATACCTAATAGCTACTCCATTGGACAACACAGATGCAAAGGACAGGTACTCCTAGATGTGCATAAAGATGTAATAAGGTAGTTGTGGGCTGTTTTTCATTCTTCACTGGATGCTAATACTGTGAGTTGACACTTGTGGTTATATTTGCCGGTGTTGTCAGATATTCTGGTTGGAGAACAAGTAACACCCAATTCAGATGTTACCTGAATTAGAAAAAGAAGTAAAAGAGACAGAAAAAGTAACGTAGATACAGCTGGGTGGTATGATCCTCTGTTTCTCAGTTAATGGAGTGCTCAGATTGTACTTTTCTTCCAAAGAAAACAAAGTGCTTCAAGTGCACTATAACTGTGTCTCTGTCCTGCCCTTATGAGGTTACACATTTGCATTGCTCATGAGAAAAAATGTAGGCACCAAGATTATCATCAGGATAGGAAAATGAATATGAAATCAAAAGAATGATCACTAGAAACTAGATCCACCTACATTCTGTTTTTTACCTCTAGGTAAGTGACTACTGTCTAATTATCAATTATTTCAGTAATATTTGTGTTCAATGCAATTTCCAGGTGTGTATGTCCTTTTTGTCAGAAGGAATTGGATGAAGACAGTTTGCTGGATCATTGCATTACTCATCACAGATCAGAAAGGAGACCTGTGGTGAGAAATTATGTTACTATATATTTCTGCATTATCTAAATTTGATACACATTAGAAAATCCATTTATGGGCTTCTATTTATGGATATATCATAAAAGATAATTTATGTCAAGGTTACAGTGATTCTATGACTATGAACACCATGTGAAAGTGTCAAGTTGAAACTGACAAGAATTATCAGTGTGCAGTTGCTCTTTCATTTATGAAATTAGACAACATTGTCTCATACAGATAATCATGGGCATAATCAACTAAGCAGATCTAAAATGCATAATTAAGATTTAATGTTAGTATGCTAACTGTGCTCACATCCTAAGTGAGAAACATTTTTTAATAATGCAAATATGGTTATCATGGCAATAATACACTAGACATGAAAAGTAGAAAGTCATTCACCTTTATTAATCAATTCATTGTTTTATTTCAGAGTCTGAATATTCATCAGTAGGCTCACACATTAAACATGCATATTGCTTATCATTTCCTTGATCTATTGTGAATGCTGCCTTTTTTCATTTCAACCTGGCACTTTAGTTCTCCTTTGCAGTGTGGCTCTTATAATTTTCATTTTTGTATAATTGAGAGGTAAGGCAGGGTGATGATGGATCATCATTTACTTGGCCATTTTACTAGTTTTTAACATTTGGATTACTGCCAGTTTTTAGGATTTGAATTCACGTTCTCATACGTTTAAACTTTTCTTTCTATATCATTTTTTTCTGAGGAGGAAATTCCATAGATTGGTATTTTGGGGCCCAAGAGTGCAAGTTTTAATTAACACTCAAAACGTATTCTAAAAAGTTTGAGTCAGTTTATATTTGTATCAGCAGTTGATGAGTAAACTGCTTTCACCTTAACCTGGCCAAAATTGGGTTACATTTATTTTTAAATTAACAGAAGTAAAATGGTACCTTGAAGATTATTTTGGATTTTATCTTAGTTCTAAACAGAACTAAAATATGTATATATGTGTGTGTGTGTGTGTTTCATATATGTAAGTTTGGGGTTTTTTTAATTTGAGTTTTAAAGTTTTTTTTTTCCCCATAAAATCCTTTTGGAAGGTGGATGAGGTTGAAATGCAAGTTTATTTGATGATTGGTAGATAGCACTTACAACAATACTATGAGACAGAGATGATTATTATTTCCATTTTACCAGCAGTAAACTCAGACTCAGAGAGGTTAAGTCTTACAAGATAAGTCTTATAGCTGGTAAGTAAGCAGAGCTACAGTTTGAAGCCCAGTGTCTAGCTCTGGGGCATAAACACCTGTGCTTTACCAGCAAGTTCAAGGAAAAGCCCCACAGCACAGTCAAAGGTCTTTTTTTATTCACCCTAATGGTCCAGAGGTTTGATTCTTGGGATGGTTAGCTAGGAGCTTGATATGTGTTGGGGGAGCAGGGGAGATTGTCATGGGCTTTTCCTGTTTAAGTTGCCCTTGGAGGAACTGAACTAAGGAGGTGTTTTACGATGGGTCCCTGGGGAACCTTCCTAGAGGAAGCTTGAAGAAAGCCCTGGGGGACTTCCCTGGTGGTTCAGTGGCTAAGACTCCGAGCTCCCAATGTAGGGGGCCTGCGTTCAGTCCTGAGTCAGGGAACTAGGTCCCACATGCCTCAACTAAGACCTGGCACAGCCAAATAAATAAGTAAATATTTAAAAAAGAAGAAGAAAGAAAACATTAAGATGGCATCATAATGACTAGCACATACTGAGTTTTCTTGGTTTGTCTTTTGGTTTGTTTTGGTCATGTGCACAGATTGTGGGATCTTAGTTCTCCAAACAGGGAACAAACCCAGGCCTCTGCAGTGAAAGTGTCGAGTCATAACCACTGGACTGCAGGAGAATTCCCGATATACTGAATTCCCGGTGCCTCTTGAACTCAGTGAAATATAACTCAGATGACCATTATATCTACTACTGTGGGCAAGAATCCCTTAGAAATGGAGTAGCCCTCATAGTCAACAAAAGAGTCCAAAATTCTGTACTTGGTTGCAAGCTCAAAAACAACAGAATGATCTCTTGTTTCCAAGGTAAACCATTCAATATCAATAGTCCAAGTCTATGCCCCAACTAGTAATGCTGAAGAAGCTGAAATTGAATGGTTCTATGGAGACTTACAAGACCTTCTAGAACTAACACCCCAAAAAGATGTCCTTTTCATTATAGGGGACTGGAATGCAAAAGTAGGAAGTCAAGAGATACCTGGAGTAACAAGGCAAATTTGGCCTTGGAGCACAAAATGAAGCAGGGCAAAGGCTAACAGAGTTTTGCTAAGAGAATGCACTGGTCATAGCAAACACCCTCTTCCAACAACGCAAGAGAAGACTCCACATATGGACATCACCAGATGGTCAACACCAGAATCAGATTGATTGTATTCTTTGCAACCGAAGATGGAAAAGCTCTGTATAGTCAAAAAAAACAAGACCAGGAGCTGACTGTGGCTCAGATCATGAACTCTTTATTGTAAAATTCAGACTGAAGTTGAAGAAAGTAGGGAAAACCACTACACCATTCAGGTATGACCTAAATCAAATCCCTTATGATTATACAGTGGAAGTGACAATAGGTTCACAGGATTAGATCTGATAGAGTGCCTGAAGAACTATGGATGGAAGTTCCTGACATTGTACAGGAGGCGGTGATCAAGATCATCCCCAAGAAAAAGAAATGCAAAAAGGCAAAATGGTAAAGATCTAAATGTAAGACCAGAAACTATAAAACTCCTAGAGGAGAACATAGGCAAAACACTCTCCGACATAAATCACAGCAGGATCCTCTATGACCCACATCCCAGAATTTTAGAAATCAAAGCAAAAATAAACAAATGGGACCTAATGAAACTTAAAAGCTTTTGCACAACAAAGGAAACTATAAGCAAGGTGAAAAGACAGCCCTCAGATTGGGAGAAAATAATAGCAAACGAAGCAACAGACAAAGGATTAATCTCAAAAATATACAAGCAACTCCTCCAGCTCAACTCCAGAAAAATAAATGACCCAATCAAAAAATGGGCCAAAGAACTGAACAGACATTTCTCCAAGGAAGACATACAGATGGCTAACAAACACATGAAAAGATGCTCAACATCACTCATTATCAGAGAAATGCAAATCAAAACCACAATGAGGTACCATTACACACCAGTCAGGATGGCTGCTATTCAAAAGTCTACAAGCAATAAATGCTGGAGAGGGTGTGGAGAAAAGGGAACCCTCTTACATTGTTGGTGGGAATGCAAATTAGTACAGCCACTATGGAAAACAGTGTGGAGATTTCTTAAAAAGCTGGAAATAGAACTGCCATTTGACCCAGCAATCCCACTTCTGGGCATACACACCGAGGAAACCAGATCTGAAAGAGACACGTGTACCCCAATGTTCATCGCAGCACTGTTTATAATAGCCAGGACATGGAAGCAACCTAGATGCCCATCAGCAGACGAATGGATGAGGAAGCTGTGGTACATATACACCATGGAATATTACTCAGCCATTAAAAAGAATTCATTTGAATCAGTTCTAATGAGATGGATGAAACTGGAGCCCATTATACAGAGCGAAGTAAGCCAGAAAGATAAAGACCATTACAGTATACTAACACATATATATGGAATTTAGAAAGATGGTAACAATAACCCTATATGCAAAACAGAAAAAGAGACTCCGATGTATAGAACAGACTTGTGGACTCTGGGAGAAGGCGAGGGTGGGATGTTTCAAGAGAACAGCATCGAAACACGTATATTATCTAGGGTGAAACAGATCAGCAGCCCAGGTTGGGTGCATGAGACAAGTGCTCGGGCCTGGTGCACTGGGAAGACCCAGAGGGATCGGGTGGAGAGGGAGGTGGGAGGGGGAACCGGGATGGGGAATACATGTAAATCCATGGCTAATTCATTTCAATGTATGACAAAAACCACTGCAATGATGTAAAGTAATTAGCCTCCAACTAATAAAAATAAATGAAAAAAAAAAAAAGGCAAAATGGTTGTCTGAGGAGGCCTTACAAATAGCTGAGAAAAGAAGAGAAGTGAAATGCAAGGGAGAAAAGGAAAGATATACCCATATGAATGCAGAATTCCAAAGAATAGCAAATAGAGATAAGAAAGCCTTCCCCAGTGATCAGTGCAAAGAAATAGAGGAAAACAATAGAATGGGAAAGACTCTTCAAGAATATTAGAGATACCAAGGGAATATTTCATGCAAAGATGAGCACAATAAAGGACGGAAAATATATGAATCTACCAGAAGCAGAAAATATTAAGAAGAGGTGACAAAAATACACAGAAGAACTATACAAAAAAGATCTTCATGAGCCAGGTAACCACTGGCTCAATGGTATGATCACTCACCTAGATCCAGACATCCTGGAATGTGAAGTCAAGTGGGCCTTAGGAAGCATCACTATGAACAAAGCTAGTGGAGGTGATGGAATTCCAGTTGAGCTATTTCAAATCCTAAAAGATGATTCTGTGAAAGTGCTGCACTCAGTATGCCAGCAAATTTGGACAACTCAGCGGTGGCCACAGGACTGGTTCCAAATTGGGAAAGGACTACGTCAAGGCTGTATTTTGTCACCCTGCTTACTTAGCTTATATGCAGAGTATATCATGTGAAATGCCGAGCTGGAAGAAGCACAAGCTGGAATCAATATTTCTGGGAGAAATATCAAAAACCTCAGATATGCAGATGATACCACCCTTATGGCAGAAAGCAAAGAGGAACTAAAGAGCTTCTTGATGAAAGTGAAAGAGGAGAGTGAAAAAGTTGGCTTAAAACTCAACATTCAGAAAATTTAAAAAAAAAAAAACCTCAACATTCAGAAAATGAAGATCATAGCATCCGGACCCATCACTTCATGGCAAATAGATGGGGAAACAATTGAAACAGTGATAGACTTTATTTTAGGGGACTCTAGAATCACAGCAGATGTTGACTGCAGTCATGAAATTAAAAGACACTTGCTCCTTGGAAGAAAAGCTATGACCAACCTAGGCAGT